CCAGCTCTGTCCAGGACCCTCTGTTGTGATCCCTGTCAGAGCAGTCAGTGGTGGTCGCCAGGCACCATCTAGTTGTACTGGACTCAAGTCTGGTGGAGGCCGTGGTAGTTGTGGTCCATTAGTCCTTTGGATTAATCTTTCCGTTGTGTCTTGTTTTCTTCATTCTCCCTTCCTCCCGAAGGGGTGAGACCAGTGGAGTATCTTAGATGGCTCTTACAGGCTTTTAAGACCCCAAATACTACTCACCAGGTAGAATGTAGACCATTTTCTTTATAATCTGTGTTATGCCAACTGAGCTAGATGTTCCCTGAGACCATGGTCCCCACAGGCCTCCGACCAGCAATTCAGTCCCTCAGGGAGTTTGGATGTGTCTATGGAGCTTCCATGACCTTTCCTTGTACAAGTGGGACATGACTTATTTCTGTTCAACTCTTGTCAGGGAGCAGATTATGGGTTATCCAGAGATTTGGGTTTGAAGGGACCTTAGAGTTAACTTAATTTAGTCCCCTTTCTACTCTTGGAGACCTGGTGGTATAGTGGTTAAGACATCAGGCTGCTAACCAAAAAGGTTAGCAGTTCAAATCCATCAGGCGCTCCTTGGAAGCCTATGGGGCAGTTCTACTCTGTCCTATAGGATTGCTATGAGTTGGCATCAGCTCGGCAGCAACAGGTTTGGTTTTTGGGTTTTTTTCTACTCTTGAATTCTCTTTTGCAACATTACCATAAAATGGCCATTTGTTTGATATATTAAAATAAGACCTCACAACATCTTCAGGTGTATATAAATTACATTAATCACCTGTACAACTCCTTCTCATTTGATGGTCTAATTCTGGGCAACTATACCTAAAATTCTTTCTCTTTTTCTTTCTTTCTCTCTCTGTCTCTGTCTTTCTTTCTTCCTTCCTTCCTCCTTCTTTTTCTTTCCCTTCCTCCCTTCCTTTCTGTATCATATTTATCCATCTATCATCATAGAGAGAATAATTGCTCCCCAAAGATGTCCATATCTTAACCCCTGGAATCTCTGAATATGTTACCTTACATGGCAAAAGGGAATTTTTAAATGGGTTTAAGTGATTTCTTGAGATGGGGAGATTATCCTGGATTATCTGACTGGGCCTGATATAATCGCAAGGGTCCTTATAAGAAGGAGGCATGAGGTTAGAGAGGAGAGAAGATGCTACACTGCTGGCTTTGAAGATGAAGGACGTGGCCATGAACTAAGGAACATAGATAGATTCTAGAAGCTGGAAAAGGCAATAAAATGGATTCTACCCTAGAGCTTCCAGAAGGAATCCAGCTCTGTGGACCCATTCTAGATTTCTGACCTCCAGAACTATAAAGTAATAAATTTATGTTGTTTGAAGCCACAAAGTTTGTGGTAATTTATTACAGCAGCAGTAGGAAACTAATGCACCGTCTACCTATCATCTGCATATCTTGCAAAGCAACTTGATACACGCAACAAGGTAGGTTTATACATGAACGTGATGAAGACAATGATAGAAGAATGGAATTTTAAACAGTAGTTTTTAAGAGAGGGCACAATGGAATGTTTATAAATAGAGGGAAAATTGAGCACGTACACTTTGAAAATGCTCCCCAGGTCATCCTTCCTCTCGCCTATCTCAGTCCCCCACGTCTCAGTTTGTGAATCATTGCTCTAAGCCTCTGAGCTAAATAATTAGAAGAATGGTGTTTGATCTGCTGTCACTGAGTAGATCCCTTTCTCTAACCAGTTAACTTGAAAATGTGATTCAATTGGCACTGGAAGAAAAAATGTGGGCAGATCAATGTAAATCTGTCACCACTAAGAGACAAATAACCCAGACCAAGTGTCTCACTAAGAGTCAATAACATCATCTTTGCATAAAGAAAATAATATGTTCACAAAGCAGCAGAAAAATAAAAGTATTAATAATTTTCCAAGAGATGTATGTGACAGAGGCTGTGTCAATGCTAGAGAAACATGAAGGATATACCTAGCCAGCTACCACATAAATCTGGGGCCCCTGATGATCAAGTTCGCTTGCTAAATACATCCGTCCAAATTTTCTCTTTTCTACAACCGTTCTTGACCCTTGACATTAACACTGCAGATATTTTTCACACTTAGAAAGACAAGGGGACTGAAAAGCTCTACCCTCCCTGTGCAAGTAGGTCTTTATTTGTAGATAAAGATACTGAGTGACTAACATTCTCTCCAAGAACTGGCATTGCAGGTTTCAAGGGCTGCCAGATGCTGTGTTGTCTGATTACAGAGACATCAGAACGACAATTTGAGAAACTGAAGTCAGGATGGAAAGTCCTAGTAGAAGGATGAAGATCGTAGACAGAGCCATAGGACTTTTGCATGCTAAATTTACTCTGCCTGAAACATTCTTCTCTCCACCTTTAAGCTACTTAACTCTAACATTTAAGTTTTCAAATACAGCGCAATTGCTATGTCTCACTAACTAAATCACACCCTCCTGTTGTTCTATTCATAGTACCAGATCTTTGTAGAATTTATTATAGAATTTTATGTTTATTTGTTAGAATTTTATGTTTATTTGTTAGAATTTTAAATTTATTTGTGTCTTTATTTAATCTCTGTCTTCTCCAACACACTTAAAAGTCCATTGGGGAGCGTCTTAGTTATCTAGCACTGCTATAACAGAAATACCACAGGTGGATGGCTTTAACAAACAGAAATTTATTCTGTCACAGTCTAGGAGACTAGAAGTCCGAATTTAGGGTGCCAGCTCCAGGTGAAGGCTTTCTCTCTCTGTCAGCTCTGGCAGAAGGTTCTTGTCATCAATCTTCCCCAGTTGAAGAGCTTCTCTGCGCAGGGACCCCGGGTCCAAAGGACTTCCTGTGCTCCTGGCATTACTTTCTTGGTGGTATGAGGTCCCTCTGTCTCTCTGCTTGCTTCTTATATATCTCAGAAGAGATTGACTTAAAACACAGCCTAATCTTGTAGATTGAGTCCTGCCTCATTAACATCACTGCCTCTAATCCTGCCTCATTAACATTATGGAGGTAGGATTTACAACACATAGGAAAATCACATCAGATGACAAAATGGGGGACAATTGTATAATACTGGGAATCATGGCCTAGCCAAGTTGACACACATTTTTGGGGGACACAATTCAATCCATGACAGAGGGGGACAATGTCTATTTTCATTCTCCTTTGTGCCTCAAGTATTTGGCAGTGCCTGGAATATGTGTCCCTAAGTATTTTTTTTTAAATAAACTGAGTAAAAGAATGAATGACAATATGATGAGCACACATGGCACCTCTAGAAAGTCTGTTCACAACCATATCAGCTTTATTAGACTGTCTTAAGAGGCTTAATTGGCAACTCCTAATTTACAGAGAATTTCTACCCAAATGCAAACAACCCAAGAACTGTACATTTCATAAATATCAAATATCGGTGGGTAACAATCATTTCAATTTGTGGTGATGGCCTGAGATTTATGGACAGTCTGCCTGTAAACAGACTGGGATACATGGTATTGAACAATAAGTTTGTTTTGTTAACCTTTGTTCATCTTTAGTCTAATACCTCTTAAAGTTGCATATAAATAGAGTCATATTCATAATTTAAAGTGCCTACTACTTATCACTTTGACTTCCACAGGTGCTATATTGGCAATATGTTGTTTATATGTATATACACATACAAGTACATCTATGATACATTCATGTATTTTAGTCTCTTGATAAGTAGCTACATATACGTTAGCATGGCCCTCTCTTCATTGGCCATTGGGAGATTACTCAAATTTAAAACTACTATGGAAATGAGTATAATTAGGCAAAATACAAGATAAAAAAATTCCAACCCTGATGAAATTCACTACTTCTTATTTTGTTTTATCCCTTTCTGCAGCTTCTTACATTTGAAGCCAGTATGTTTAATTACCCTCCCACCAAAGCTCCTACTTTATGCCTAGTTCAGTGCCTGACATTTAGTAGACACTCCATAAATAATGTTTCCCCTCTTCCTAGTCAAATGCTTGGCGTTCATCTAAGAAGTGATGCTTCCTCATTTGAATGTGAAAGAGAGTAGCATTAGGTGGATGAATGGGAAAACTGAGATGAATCTTTGTAGTCTGGCATTGTGTAAAAACTATAAAATTCTGTGGTACATTTGCGTTCAAATAATAGTCTAAAATAGTACATTTTAAAACATAAATATTTCAGCTATCCACCATTTTGAATAATCTATGGTATTGCCAACTCCTTCCTTATGTTCATTATGATTTGTAAGGGTTCATATCGCTAAGAACATGGTTCTCTCTTTCAGACTAAGTGTGGTTTTGCATCAGAGGCGCCCTGGTCACGATCACAAGGAAGCACAAGCTAATGCCAGTGTCAGAGCAGCTTTTGTGCATGCCCTTGGCGATCTCTTTCAGAGCATCAGTGTGCTAACAAGTGCACTTATTATCTACTTTAAGGTGAGTGGGTTTGAGTTTATCCACCTTCATAGTAATTATATGGGCCAGGTGACACAAAACCTGACTCTCCAATATTAGCTTCAGAGAGGGTGGACAGCCTATATTTGTCTACCCAAACATTTTACCAGTTTCAAACAAAAACAGCCAAAACTTGAAACCTTTGACTTTCCCTAATTTCTAAGAGCTGTATCTTTGACTGTAGTGCTACCACATTTTCCAGAAAGTAGTTCCTTTTGTCATGGGGTTAAGATGGACAGCAATAGAACGGTGATGAAATTAGGATTTGGCGGTTGTAAGCAATAGAAAAGATCTTTGGCTCACTTAAGCAAAAAAGAGATTTATTGGTAGAAATTTATTTTGATGTACCACTAGGCAGAAATTAGGGTAGGAATAAAGGAGATTAGTTTTAGGGACTCTTCAATTTCTGTCCCAGTTACTATGCTGAAATTCATGTGACCCAGTCATGCTTTTTCTGTTCTTGGCACGCTGTTGAAGATTCACGTATCCAGGAAGGGGAGTCTAATTGACCTAGCTTGGGTCTTGTACCTGATGCTTGGCTGGGAAAAGTGTAGAGCACCTGATTCACTGTCCTACCACAATTGCTCACAATAGGTGGAAGGTAACCCCCCATCCGCCACAAAGGCCAGGTGCTAATGGGAAGTGGGAATAGATCCTGGGTGGGCCTGTGACAAAGTTCACTACAGAACGCTATCTTGTAATACCAACAACCAACAGAGGGGGTTAGGGCTGGCTTTGGGGGAAATGGAAGGGAAAAGCGTTTAGCTCCGTCTGGTTGCATCATGATTCTCCAATTTACAGAGAATTTTTACTATCTCCCTAAAAAAAAGAAAGAAAACATGTAAGTAAAAAATACAAAGATAAAAACACAACGTCTGATTCAGTTGAGCAAAATGCTCACTGAAAGCTTCAAGTCTAAGACAAAAATAGTTCAAAACTGTAAGGGTTAGTGGAGTTTGAGAGTACTCTTAAAAAAGCTAGGTTAATGCTGATTTTTTTAGGGATGATGGGGCACAGAGTCTTCTGAGGTGAAGCACTTCATCAAGGGCAGAGAAGCAGGAGGTTTAACTCGATACCACGACCTCCAGTACAGAGAAAAGAAGACTGACGCCTTGGGTCATGTCTTTAGGACTATGTCAGAGATGCCTGTCTCAAGCATGTTTCATACTTGGCAGGGGAGGAAATAAACTAACCCTAGTCAGCCAAGGGAGCCCTGGTGGCATAGTAGTTAAGAGATTGGCTGTTAACCAAAAGGTCAGCAGTTCAAATCTGCCAATCACATCTTGGAAACCCTATGGGGCAGTTCTACCCTATCCTATAGGGTCATTATGAGTCGGAATCAACTTGATGGCAACAGGTTTGATTGTTTTTCTTTAGTCAGCCAAGACCAGAGTCCAGTTGTACCTTGGCTTCATGCAACCTCTGAGCTGATGATACTTTTTCTTCTCCTCAATGTAATTAAGACCTAGAAGTCACTGGATATTGTGGGCGTATTTGTACTTATTTTCATCACATACTCTGTGCTTCTATTAATTTGAGTGAAGTTAAAGCAGACCCCTTGAGATAACACTCAAGTATATTTTCCCCTTTGATTTATAAATGATGGGGAGAGCATCTCCTATAATCTCCTTTCTTAGTCAGTGGTAGTTTAAAGGCATGAAGAAGGACAGTGGTACCCGAGTCCTTAGAAAGAGAGCCTTGCCTGTAAATACTGGGAGAAGGAATGGGTGATGAAGAGAGAAAGGAGGGGGGTTTACTTATTTTCTCAATCAGGCTTTCCACATGGGAAGTACAAACTGAGTTAACCAAAGTTCCTGTATTTTCTAGCCAGACTACAAAATAGCAGACCCAATCTGCACATTTGTCTTTTCCATCCTGGTTTTGGCTAGCACCATCACTATCTTAAAGGACCTCTTCATCTTACTCATGGAAGGTAAGAGTGATTTTGTTATTATTCCCAGGATCAATGTTTTCTCTTCCTCATGATCACAAAAGAGAATGCCCCAAAGCATGTTCACTCTTAATTTGCATTATGGGGAAAATTTAAGCTGATAGGGAATTTTCGTTAAAATAAATATTTGATTTTTATTGGTATGGGAACAAATAAAAAGAACTGGCTCCTGTTTTCCCTTTAGCAACTGCTAAATAATACTGCAAAGGGTAAAAACAATAAGTGTAATCACTAAAGAAAGGGACACTGAGGGAGATATCACTAAATAATAATAATACATTCATCCCTGAAAATACCTGGAAAAGACCTAGGAAAAACTGAATAAATCTACCCCTTTGGCAACGTTATAACTGAACATTTTACTCAGTTGTGTCTCATAGTGTAAGAACACCAGGGTGATCCCTTATTTACTTATCCAGCAAATGTTTAATGAGCTACAATTCTGTGCCAGTTTGTATGGTTGTAGGTAGAATTACAGAATAGAGCAAGGCAGAGATCATCTGTGCCCTCACTGGGCTAATTCTTAGTGAAGGGGAGAAAGAGATCGTTTAAATGACTATACAGAGATAGAACAGCAGTAAGTGCTACAAATCAGTCTTAGAAGAAACACAAACAGAATGCTCCTTAGAAACAAGGATGGAGAGACTTTAGCTCATTTACTTTGTACGCATTATCAGGAAAGACCAACCCGCTAGAAAAGGACATCATGGTTGGTAAAGAGTGAAAATGAGGGAAACCCTCCATGAGCCACAACAATGGGCTCCAATATACCCATGATCATGAGGGTGGCACAGAGCTAGGCGACATTTTGTTCTGTTAGACATATGGTCGCCATGAGTCCCGGCTGACTTGATGGCAACTAACAACAACAACGACAACAACCAGTGGTATGAAGAAGAGGTGCGGGCCCTTTATTGGGGATTTTGACTTAGCCAGGGATGGGGGGCAGGTGGTCACAGAGGCTTTCCTAAGGAAATGATGTTTCCTGGGAACTTTCTGAGAGTAGGTTCTCAGGCTTATTAATTTCATTCCCCCCAGCCAGAGTCAAGCTTTGGCCACTTTCTTGGGCTCCTGGAATCTCTGTCTGGATCCATGTGTCTTTTATTTGTTCAGTAATAGATGACATGAATAACCCACACTGTCAAGAAATTCTTTCTTATGCCTAAACCTTACCTCCTCACTCACTTCTACCTGTTAGTGGTTTTACTTTTTTATTTGGCATAAAATGGTTGAAGAACTGCTGATTTCTGACCTTTTTTGGCTATGTCCTTATTGACTGAGTTGGCTTGGGAAGACACATCATGCAGTAGGAAAAGCAAGGTCTTCGTGCTAAATGAACCTCAATTCAATCCTGGTCATGCAAGTTACTAGCTGTGGAACTTTAGAAAGACCCTTAACTCTTCTGAACCTCAGCTTTCTCAACTCAAAACAGGAAGTACAATATCCGTCCTACAGTGTGGTTGTGAGGAGTAGATGAGATGTATGGCATAATATCTAGAACACAATGGAAATGCAATAAGTCTAAGTTCTCAGCTACTCTTTCAGTTGACTTGAATATGGGAAATATGAAGCCAGGTTGTGGATATGAACCCTGTACTGCCTATTTATTCTCATACCAAGAAATTCATGATTTTTAGCCATAGAGTGTGGCGATAGCCTTGGCCAGCCACCAATGCAGATGGCCTCAGAAGGACCAGATAAAAGAGTCTTGTTAGAACAAATCCATCTTCATTACCAAAACAAACTGTTAAGTGGCACCTAAAATGGGAGAACTACTGACTCACAGTGGCATTATTTTTGCATATTAAAGTATATTAAAGACATAAGATACTTGATTACATTTGCAAGATGATTTATCAGTGTTATATTGACCATTTGCAATGGATTCAAATGACATTATTTTTTATTCTGCATTCCAAGTTAATAAGTACCAGGAAGGTCTTGACTAAAACCGACTAGGCCAACCAACAGCTCTCAAACTTCAGTGGCATCAGAATCACTTGAAGGATTTGTTTAAACACAGATTGCTGGGCCCACCCTCATGGTTCCTGAGTCAGCAAGTCTGGAATGGGACCCAAGAATTTGAATTCCTAACAAGATGCTGAAGCTGCTGGTCCGGGGACCACATTTTGAGAACCACTGGATTAGGATCTTCATAACACTTTAGGGATTCCTATATGATGGCACTGAAATGTTACCTAGAAAATTCAGTCAGAACTAGAGGTTTGCATCATATCAGACATCCAGGTGATTGAAAATATCCAGACATTGGCTGAATTTTTTCTTTTTTGCCCAGCAACTTTTGATGTAAGGTCGACACAGTCTCAGGGCAGTTGCCTTCAGTGACAATTCAGATTTCATTAGTGTTCACTGCAGAGTATGCAGTTAAGGGTTTTGTTCTTGGTGGACATGGTAATTGTTGACATTGTTGAAGATAGTGAAACAGATAATCAAGTGAAACATCACTGAGTAGCAAGTGAACTTCCCAGTTCTGAATGTAAGAATATTTGGTTTGTCAAGTTACAGATACATCTGTGATCTTTCCTGGGGCCAGGTGCTGAGCTGCAGCTGTTTTTGCTGCTATAGATGCCATTGGCTTAAAGGGGAATAGAAGTCAAATTGGTAAAATTTGAGATGACTATATTCCACTCTTTCTGCCTCTCACTTTAGCTTTTCTCTAGTGATTATCTCTGTTATTTTATTTAAGGAAAAGTGCAGAGACCATGGCTATCTTCAGCTAATTATTGAAACTGGCAGGTAATTTCTTTCTAAAAGATGGTTAATTTTTAAATTAGAGTACTGTAGTATAATACTTGTCCTTGGTACAATTTTAAAACAGTACAGAAAGGTATAAAATGATAGCAAAAAATCTCTCCATCTCTCCATCTCTGTAACTCTCAGTCCTATTCTTCAGGGATAACACCTATTAATAAGTTGACATGCATATTTCCAAAAATACTTATGTATTTATATACATATGTAATATATATGCATGTGTATATATATGCATGTATATACATATGCATATAGTCACCGTTTATATTGTTGAAAAAAGGTATTTGCAATGAATAAGTCATTTGTCTTGCAAAATTCCATCATTTGATCTCTGGCATCGTTTCTATCACCAAGGCCATATTTTCCAACTACTGATCCTTCTTTCTTGTTTCCAACTTTCGCATTCCAGTCACTAGTAATTATCAATGTATCTTGATTGCATGCTTGATCAATTTCAGACTGCAGAAATTGGTAAAAATCTTCAATTTCTTCATCTTTGGCCTTAGTGGTTGGTGCTTACATTTAAATAATAGTCATATTAAATGGTCTTCCTTGTAGGCGTATGGATATTATCCTATCACTAACAGCGTTGTACTTCGGGATAGATCTTGAAATGTTCTTTTTTGACAATGAATGTGATGCTATTCTTCTTCAGTTTGTCATTCCTTGTATAGCAGACCATATGATTGTCTAGTTCAAAATGGCCAGTACCAGTCCATTTCAGCTCAGTAATGCCTAGGACATCGATTTTTATGCATTACTTTTTTTTTGACAACTCTGATTTTCCTGGATTCATACTTCACACATTCCATGTTCCAATTATTAATGGATGTTTGCAGCTGTTTTCTCTCATTTTGAGTATTGCCACATCAGCAAATGAGTTCCTGAAAGCTTTACTCCATCCATGTCATTAAGGTCAACTCTATTTAGAGGAAGCAGCTCTTCCCCAGTTGTATTTTGAGTGCCTTCCATCTTGAGGGACTCATCTTCCAGCATTGTATCAATGTTCTGCTGCTATTCAAAAGGTTTTCACTGGCCAATTTTTTTAGAAGTAGATCGCCAGATCCTTCTTGCTAGTCTTTCATAGGCCGGAAGCTCCGCTGAAACCAGTATACCAGGGATGGCCCTGCTGGTATTTGGTATACTGATGGTATATCTTCCAGAATCACAACCTTGCTTACTGAAAGCGAAGGAAACTTGATGCACTTACTGATGAAGATCAAAGACTACAGCCTTCAGTATGGATTACACCTTAACATAAAGAAAACAAAAATCTTCACAACTGGACCAATAAACAATATCATGATAAACAGAGAAAAGATTGAAGTTGTCAAGGATTTCATTTTACTTGGATCTGCAATCAGCACTCATGGAAGCAGCACTCAAGAAATCAAATAATGTATTGCACTGGGCAAATCTGCTGCAAAAGACCTCTTTAAAGTGTTAAAAAGCAAAGACGTCACTTTGAGGACTAAGATGCTCCTGACCCAAGCCATGGTCTTTTCAGTTGCCTCATATGCATGCAAAAGCTGGACAATGAATAAGGAAGACCGAAGAAGAATTGATGCCTTTGAATTATGATGTTGATGAAGAATATTGAATATACCATGGACTACCAGAAGAACAAACAAATCTGTCTTGGAAGAAGTATAGCCAGAACGATCCTTAGAGGCAAGGATTGTGACTTCATCTCATGAACTTTGGAGATGTTATCAGCAGCTACCAGTTCCCGGAGAAGGACATCATGCTTGGTAAAGCAGAGGGTCAGCGAAAAAGAATAAGACCCTCAACGAGATGGATTGACACAGTGGCTACAACAATGGGTTCAAACATAGCAACGATTGTGAGGATAGCGCAGAACGGGGCACTGTTTTGTTCTATTGTACACAGGGTTGCTGTCCTTCAATACTGACTCGACAGCACCTAGCATCAACAACAACATATACATATGTGTAGTGTGTATGTCTTTTTTATGCAAATAGATTACACATTGATATATATTTTTTCTGCCCCTTGCTTTTTTCACTTGGAGATCTTTCCTTCTTAGCACATTCATAGATATACCCCATTCTTTTTCATAGCTACAAAGTATCCCATTGTATGGAGGTACTTGCTTGTTTACGGACATTATAAACAACGATGTAATTATCATTCTTATACATATAAATGTTTGTACTTCTGTAAGTTCTTATGAGTATTAAATGAGATAATTGCTATAAATAAAGTGCTTAGCACAAAGCTGGACACATGGTAGGCTCTCAATAATTATTATTATTACAATATGATAATTATTACATAGCACTTCACACACATTCTATGGGCAATCTGAGACAGGAACTCCTTTAATCTGCTCTAGTATCCTGTACCTTTTGCAAGTCTTGGAGTAAGAAGACATGTTGACCAGCTCTTCATTACTTCCATGAAACAGTAGAAAGTGAGATTAAAACTAAGTTCAAACTGTAGGGAATTAGCAAGGAGGAGATCCCTCACGAAAAAGGTACTTAAATCCTTGGTTCTCGGGTCTAGGCCGCTCATTACTATCATCTGGGAAGAGTTTTAAAAATACTTATACTCAGGCCCCACACCCAGAGATTCTGATTTAATTGTTCTGGGGTGGGGTCTGACTTTGGCACTTTATAATGGGCAGTCAAGGTTGAGTACCATTGCAAGGCTGAGTTGCTCAGTGACTCGTAAGCATTAGTGCAATGGTTCTCAACCTTAGCTGCACATTAGAATCACCAAATAAGCTTTAAAAATATTGATGCTGGGTCCCGTCTCCAGCGATTCTGATTTAATGAGTCTTGGGTGTCACCTGGCCATCAGGATTTCTAAAACCTCCTCCAGTGATACTAATGTGCATCCAAGGTTGAGAACCACTCTGAAAGCCTGCAGAGTTCAGAGTCTCATCCATAGAAATTTCCTTCAGGAGTTCTGGAACGGAGCCAAGAAATACGCATTTGTGATGAACACCCATGTTTGTGGTGTGGGTGGTTCTGGTACCACACCTGAGAATAATTGAAGTAGAGTCTAAAATAAGAGTACCCATTGCCATCGGATCAGTTCCGACTCATAGTGACCCTACAGGACAGAGCAGAACTGCCCCATAGGGTTTCCAAGGAGTGGCTGGTGGATTCGAACTGCTGACCTTTTGGTTAGCAGCCGAGCTCTTAACCACTGTGCCACCAGGGCTCCAAAATAAGAGCAGTACTTTGAAATTTCCTTCTATAGCATCCTCTTTGGATTATCTTTAGTTGACTGGGATTTACCTTTCTCATCAAATGGCTTATTCCATTGTTATGCTGGTTAAGTTGATTAAAAAACAAACATACAAGCAAATAAACACATTTATATTGAACTGATATTTGTTTTAACATAACTTCAGACTGTTGGTGCTGCTTCTCTCTCTGGAGCTAGCCAAAGCCAGTATCCTTACACTTGCATCTCATCTCATCTTCTGTATGACAATCCTTGTAATTTTTGAAGAAAGTGATCATAATTTCCTTAGTCTTCTCTTCTCCAGGCTAGAGACACCTCAGTTCCTCTAATCTAAAAAAGTGACTGATTGATTATCAGGTTCCCTACCTTTCTGTGTGCCCCACACTGTCCCTTTGGCAACAAGAGTGACAGTTGGACTGTTAAATTCTATAACTTGGACATTGAACCCTGATGGATGTAGTTAAAATAATAGAAATGTTACAAACCAGATAATAGGATGGTATTACGAAGTTGAGATCTCCCATTAGCACAGTTCATAAAGAAGTGACATATTGGATAACTAACATGTTTATAGCATTATAGTTTACAAAGAGCAGAGATTTTCTGAGCTGACCCTCCAAGAACTATGTGAACAAGATACTGTTCTTACCACCCTGAGTTTACTATAAAGGTGATTATGATCAGAGAAGTTCCAAGACTGGGGTAAATTCACAGTCCAAGATTGGGGCAAATTCACAGTAGGTGTAGCCAGAATGCTAACCTAGATTAATTGTTTCTAAATGCTATGTTATTGCATTGTTTCTTTCCAGAATGTATGCAACGATAATAAGGAAAAGCACAATTAGATGAATACCACCCTAAAAACTAAGGATTATTACTACTGTTGGTTATTGCATTGGAAATTCTGTAAATATTATTTGTCTGTGAACTTTTGATTGATGGTAAACCCTTTGAAATAGGTGAATCTAATTTGTAAACATTTGAAGTAAGAAACGAAAAAAAAGGGGAGGGCAAGCTGATACTTCGATAAAAGACTTTGCCGCCCCTTTAGCCATCTCAATGTGCTGTTATGTAGTTGAATAACAACAGCCTCCCCCTCTTTTCGTCAGGTGTGCCAAAGGGCCTGAATTATGATGCTGTGAAAGAGCTCATCTTAGCGGTTGATGGGGTGGTATCTGTGCACAGCCTGCATGTCTGGGCTCTAACAATGAACCAAGTGATTCTCTCGGCTCATGTTGCTACAGGTCAGTGCATTTTGTAAACACCGTGGATGAAATTCAGTCCTTGTCCTGTAAAAGCAGTAATTTCCCTCCTTTTGTAGAGCTGCTCTTAGTGACTGTTGCCTGTAAAACCGGTGTGTTTTGTACCTACCATGGGGCTTTGAAAACCACCCTCTTATAATTGTGTCATAGCAATAATGATACTAGTGGCATCCCTTTAGGCAGACTGAAGAGGGTAGAGGATAGACAGAACGGAGGGCTAAACTGCTACCCAAACTCTGAAAATCAGATGTCACTTGGTCATCTTGGTGCCCCATCAATCAAATGATAGGAAAGAAGTCAACAGTAAATCTTAATCGGGTATCTCCTGTGTGTAAGACACTGTGCCTAGCACTGATGACAGAAAGGTGACCGCGACACAGGTCCCATCCTTAAAATTCTAACATGATGGTATAAGTGCTAGTAGGAATTAATGGAAGTTCCTTTACTGGATGATTAGAAATTCTGTAACTATCTCAGAAAATTCTTAGAAGATTGGGTTTATACTAAAGTCTACTTTCTAAATTAGAGAATGACTCTATTCATGATATGTCCTATTGTTAGTAGCTATTGAGTTGGCCCTTGACTCATGGTGACCCCATGTACAATCGAACAAAATGCTGCTGAGTCCTGTGTCATCCCTATGATCAGTTACAGATCAGACTGTTATGAGTCATAGGGTTTTCCTTCATTGATTTTTGGATGTAGATCACCAGACCTTTTTTCCTAATCTGTCTTAGTCTGGAAGCTCTGGAGAAACCTGTTCAGTATCATAGCAACATGCAAGCCTCCACTGAGAGATGGGTAGGTGGTGGCCATGCACGAGGTGCACTGGCCAGAAGTCAAACCCAGGTCTGTGGTACAGAAGGTGAAAATTCTACCACTGAACCAACATGGCCCCTGTGATATGTCCTAGGGATGGGAAAATAGATGGTGGGAGTCCTTTCATGGCTTCAGGAGAGAGCTCAGGCCAAGGATAGTAGGTTAGAATGCTAAAAAATAACTCAAGAAAGTTACTAAGGGGCAGGGTACAGAAACACCAGGGAGAGTTATTTTAGGACTCCGCTTTCTGAGACCTCATCTTCTCTGAGGAGCTCCAGTCTCGCTGCAGGGAATTTACAGCATTCACTACATCGATATTTCACTGCAAATAGAAAAATCTAGTAAACTGTCAGCTTACTACTGAGGGAACTTTACAGCCTCCTGATACCATTTGGGACAGGAAAAAAGATGGCAGTGAGGGCTACTACTCTAAGTTAGGTCTGTGGGGAGCTCTAAACGCTTCTTGGGTCCTGTCACCAGCTTTGATATAAATTCTGATTAGATACAAGAGCTGCAACCCTGAGATCCCTGGGGACTGGTGAGCAAGACTGTGTGAGAAATCAAAGTTCTGACACAGCTTTTCTCAGGGCTTATCTCCACTTCCACACTCAGCTCCTAGGAATGCCAGACCCCAGAGAGAACTGTGGGCAGGAGGAGTTCCCACAGTGATGGCGTACTTTGCTACACTAGAACTCCCCCCGTGACTTGTCTGGGTGAAAGCAGCTGAGTGGCAGAGCCATACTGGTTCCTTCGGAGTGCTGTCTGTGCACCACTGCCAGGTTAAAGACAAAGGACTTGGAGCTGGAGTCTTAGCAGTCAACCATATGTGTGTAATCAGTGCTAATCCCGCTTTGGTTCTTTATCAACAGCAGCCAGCTGGGACAGCCAGGTGGTTCGGAGAGAAATTACTAAAGCCCTCTGCAATAGCTTTACCGTGCACTCAGTCACCATTCAGATGGAATCTCCAGCCGACCAAGACCCTGACTGCCTTTTCTGTGAAGACCCCCGGAACTAGCTCAGTCACTCTGTCAGCTTTCCACGTTTGACAGACCTCTACATGCTACTATGCATTTTCTGGAACATAAGAAATAAAGAATCAAAGGAAGAAATTTGAGAAACTCATGATACAGTACAATGCACCCTCTTTATTAAGCTCCATCCACCATGAATGAAGATGCAGTTAAATCCATCAATCAATTGGATTATATACTCATCAGTGGCTGTGTTCATTTACAGGAATGTGTGTATAGATTATTCCTCACTGGCGCTAAAATAACAGCTGTTTGCAACCACAGGCAATACTAAGTCCACCCCCCTTCAATAATGCATCCTGAGACTGGTCAAGTTGAACTCAGAAAAGTCTTATCAGGAATCAGTGGCTGGGACAAATTGACAAAAAATTCCCTCGAAACATTAGAAGCAAAAATAAGAAGAGCCAAAGTCAGGGCTGAAAGAGAATTTGAATGCTTAATGGTGGTGCAAATGGTTAATGCGCTTGCTGATAACCAAAAGTTGGAAGTTTGAGTCTACTTAGAAGTGCCTCAGAAGAAAGGCATGGCAATCTACTTCTGGACAATCAGTCATTGAAAACCCTATGGATAACAGTTCCACTCTGATGCACATGGTATTGAAATGGACTTGAAGGCAACTATTTTTTTTTTTTTTTTTTTTGGTTTTGGTTTTAACATCTTAGAACTTAACTCTCCCCCGAGGCGGTAATGCGATTTGGGGCAACAGTTTTTGACTTCCTGTGTATCAACAGTCCCATTCACTACCTAGGATAGAAATGCCTCTATCTGTCTTGCTTACTTACATATTATGTTGTAATATGTCTGAAATTGTTGAATTATTTTTTTTTACTTCTCTGGATAAAAGGTAAATGACAAATTAAGTATTTGGATTGAACCATATGAAATTGCTGCTCTTCGAGTGTTTTCGTGTGATTTAACCTAATAATAATAGAAAACCAGGAGGCACAGAGATGCAGGGTGACTTATCCCAGGTCATATGGAAAGTAATTTAGTCAGAGTTCAGATGAGAATTCCCAGATCTTGAATAATTTTTATGGAGCACCTACTACTAACCTAAAGGCTGGTGGTTTGAACCAACTCAGCGGCATCACAGAAGAAAGCCCTGGTGATCTGCTTCCATAAGATTACAGCCAAGATAACCCTACGGAGGAGCTCTACTCTGTAGCTCATGGTGTTGCCATGAATAGGAACTGACTGGATGGCAATGGGCTTTTTTTGGTTTACTATGATCCAAGTATTGTACTGGGCTATTTAGATAAGTAATCTCATTTTGTTCTAATGACAACTTGTGAAGTTGGATTATCATTATACAGAAGAGGAAATAAGGCTCAGAGAGGTTAAGTAACTTGACCAATTTCATTAGTTCATAGTTGATGCCAGCTATGGGCTTAGCATTGATGAACCAAGTCAGCATGGCCTTTGCCTTCTTTTTTTTTTTTTGCAATTGTTAGAGCCATCATGACTGACAATCACAAAGACAGAGAGAACAGCATGGGTGACCACTGTCTCTGTTTTGTGGAGGAGACAGGCATCACGCTAATAAACAACCAAGAATATACCGAAATACTGGCAAGAGAGACTGATTTCGTGGGACCTGTCTACAAGCAAAGGAGTGCCGAGTATTGCTGACGGACACCAGAAGCTAGGAGAGAGGCCCACAGAAAAAATGGACACAGCTGAGACCCTGATTTAGACTGTTAGCCTCTAGAAATATGAGAAAATAAATTACGTTTTTTAAAGCAACCCACTTGTGGTATTTTTGTTTTTGTTACAGCAGCACTCGGTAACTAAGATACCAAGTAACCTGCGTGAACAATCAGTTATTATTGCAGAAGTGCATGCAAAGAATAGGCTACATTCTTCAAAAGAATAGGATGAATAAATTGCTGAGTTTAAAAGTCAAGGACTTGATGTACCCTGTCATAGGCAGCACTAAACTTGCACCCTCCCTTATATAAGAGTCTGGCCAAGGAAAGAGGAAACCTGAATAAATTGAAATTGTTATGAGATGACCTGTTAAAAGGTCTTACTCCAGACAGTCTAAATGACGGCAGTGATGAAGGGATACAAAAGGGAGGAGATGTGTGTGACATGGTAGAAACAGGAAACTCTGGTAGAGGAACGAACACGAGCAGGAATTAGAGAGAACGGTTTCAGTCCCTTTCTGCGTCCTTCCAGGCTCCGTGACCTTGAGCCAGTTCTCAATTTCTCTGAGCTGCAGCTCCCTTATCTGAAAATGGGGACTCTATTTTCATCAAGGTGTTTCTGTTCGAATTAAATGGGATAATAAATGAATGGTCAATACATGTTCTAATTCAAGGTTTCTCAACCTCGACACTATTGATATTTTGAGCTGAATCGTTGTCGTAAGGGGTTGTCTTCTGCATTGTAGGATGTTTGGAAGCATCAGTGGCCTCTACCCACTAATGCCGGTAGCATCCCTCATTCTCTTTCTCCCCCTCTGCGCCAATTGTGACAATCAAAAATGCCTTCAGACATTGTCAAATGTTTGTCCCCTGAGGGGCAAAATCACTCCTGGTTGAAAACCACTGCTCTAAGCATACACACACACACACACACACACACACACACACGCACACACACACATGCATGCACACATACGAGCGTGCAAACTTACAAGTTGTAAGGGAAGAAGGGAAAACCAATGGAGGGGTATAGGAACTTGGAAGGAGCCCTAGTGGCACAGTGGTTAAGTGCTAACCAAAAGGTCAGCAGTTTGAATCCACCGGCTGCTCCTTGGAAACCTTAGGGGGCAGTTCTACTCTGTCCTATAGGGTCGCTATGAGTCAGAATCGACTCAATGCCAGTGGGTTTGGTTTTGGTTTTGGGGACTTGGAGCTTAGGATGGCTGCCTTCTGACAAGAAACCAGCAGGAAAAGAGAAGGTCCAGCCTGCTTCTCCCATACCAGGTCTACCTCTTCCCACTTACTTTCCAGATTCCCCATCAGCGGGGGCCTTGAATTATACATGGGGATGTTCCAGGCAGAAGAAGAGAAGGACATTCAAGGCAAAAGGAAGAGTATGTGCAAGGCATGCTTATGTTTTTTAGGTTTTTATGTGAAAAGCAAAATATAGGTGGCAAAGGAAACTTTCTACTCTGTGATTCTCAAAACAATGTAATTTTTGCTACTTTATGATTATTAATATTGTAGAGAACAGGAGTTATGTCCTAGATGATTTTTATGTCACTGTTAGCACCTAGCATCTAGTGCCAGAAAGCTAGCAGACATTAATAATTGGTGAGGCAATGACTCTGGGGCTGTCTGCGGGCCTTATCATGCTTTTTCATTTACATTTATGTTTTTCTGAAATTCTGAGGGCCAAGAAAACATTGACTTTGACTGAGAAGGTCACATCCGTGCCATCTCTGCAAATCAATCAGCACCACTGAAATAGCTGCTTAGCATTCTGCTGACGGCTGGTCCTGCTCAGTGGAGACAAATATACTTGTCCCCCACCTCAGGAAGCACGTTTTAGTCAACTGAGATTAGAGCCGCTCGGGTTCCTCACATCTCCTGCCCCATCTGGCTCTCAAAATGGACAGGCAGGTTCATGTCAAATCATTGCTCTTATCTCAAGGGCCGCTGAATGCTTTTGCTTTTCCACACTTTGTGTAGGGCAGAGCCCTTAAGACCAGATAATTGGGCAAATGCAGGGATTCTGGTGCTATTACTTTGTTCTGCTTTGTGTGTGCTAAATATATATGTACCAAAACACTTGGCCATTTTAACATTTTTTTACATGTACAATTCAGTAACATTAATTACGTTAATCATGTTGTTCAACCATCATCATTATCTGTTTCCAGAAGTTTCCATCAACCCTAACAGAAGCTCAGTGTCTCCTAAGCAATGGGTCCCCTTTTCCCCCCACCCTCCCACCTGCTCTGGGTAACCACTAATAAACTTTGGTCTCTAGACAATTGCTTATTCTAGATATTTTATAAAAGCAGGAGCATATATAAAAATCACGTTGATCTTTGATTTTATGTCAGAAGGACATTGAATGCCAGGGGTGTGGGTTACTTGTCAACCAAAGGAATCGCTCCAAGGCCCTTAGCCTTTGCCCTTATTTCTCTGAAATTTACTTCTTTTTCAGAATTTAATTTCTTCAGAGCTGAAAACTCTGGACAGTAGGTATTTTTGTGGAAAGGTGCATGATGATTTGTAGAAGTGGGATTTTGCCATGGGGATTTTGAAGATTTTAAGACATAAGAGCAGTGGCGTCAAGGGACTTTGGCTGCTGTTCATCAGTTTCAAAGGTCCCTCTCCCTTTGACCCCTTTCTTGGCATGGTTGAGACGCCAGGCCATTGAAGTTACTGGGAGAGTATAATAGAATTCTGTCCTTGGTGGCATTGCATTGCTATCGGAACTTTAGTACTTCATGTCTTTCAAAGCATCAAGCCTTATTCTTCTCAGTGCTGATATGAGGCCAACTTTACGGCCTCCTCCGTCCTTAATATGTGTCTCTGTCATCCAGCACCCGGTAAAGATTTATCTAGGGCTAGGTGGTAATGTTAGGGCCCGTTAAAGAAATACATGGGTTTCATATGTTTGCTTACAGATGCGAAATGGGAATGTTAAAGGACAGGAAGCAAAGTATGTTTATGCATTGAGTTTGAATCTTAGCTCTTGCCTATATTAGCTCTGTGACCTCAAGCTATTGGCTTAAATGTTAGGTTCCTCTGTTTCCTAATTAGTAAAACCTACCTAGTAAGGTTAATGAGAAATTAATAAATAAGGACACTTAAAAGGCTTGGACCAGCGCATAGCAAGTAGTCAGCACTCAGTAAACATTAGCTCCACTACCTGCCTGTCAGTGTGCTGTACTGTGGTGTTGCTGTGATGCTGGAAGCTATGCCACCGGTATTTCAAATACCCGCAGGAACACCTATGGTGGATGGCAGAGCTTCCAGACAAAGACAGACTAGAAAGAAAGGCCCGGCAATCTACTTCCGAAAATTAGCCTATGAAACCCTGTAGATCACAACAGAATATTGTCTGATATAATGTTGGAAGATGAGCCTTCCCCACCCCTCCCCACCCCGACTGGAATATA